ACCTGCAAACACAGAGACACCCTGGTCAGAAACTGCCGCACATATCCACTGTTTCTCTCACTCATGTCCCCTCACACTCAACATCTCTCATTTTCCATAAATCGCCTTTCAAAATAGCAACAAGCAAAACCCATCTCAGCACAAAATCCATGGTGAATCCTCTGTGTTCAGTGCTGATCACTGAATGAAAACACCTGGGAATTCTGGGGCTGGGCTCCTCTCTCAGAGCTGCAGGGTCAGAGCTGGCCTGATTTTTATCAGTAGAGGGAGGGCCCTATTTGCATGTCTCCTGCTATATAGCAAGCTCAGGGACAACTGAAGAGAAGGCAGTGCCCAGAGCAGATGAGGGTGTCCTGGAAAAACTGGGGCTAATCCTACCTCTCTGGAAAATATAGCTTCAGATTATGTGATTGTGCCTTGATAATCATTTAGCAGACATCAGCTTATTTAATTGTTACATATTTGCAGAATATATTTAATGCAAGTGTCAATGTTACATTATCAGAGAAGGTAAATTACACACAGAACAGAGCAGTTGTGCAATGTGTCCAATATCACACATCTGGCCAGAGTTAGCCCTGTTATCTCTGTCTGTGCCTCCAAACACTGCAGGAGGCTGCTCCTATGAGACAACTCCAGGGCAGTGTGGGATATGTCTAGAGAGGTTTTCAGGATGTCCCACCTGTCATAACAACTTTATGTAATTTTGCTTTTTCTAGTGTTTTCCTGAAATATGCAATCAGTGTTCACATGTGTGTATTTTCAGGAGTCCGTGATTATTCAAGTGTCAATATTCATCTCTTGTTATTTCTCAGCAAATACTTTCATTTTTGTTGCTGCTTTATTCAAAACATCCATCAATAATGAAATCAAATTGACAGTATAACATTTGGAAGATGTTGATATATGTGTGCAGTCATTGAATCGGCACTTCGATCATGTTGTTAGCAATTGAATTAGCCCTCTTATTTTTTCTTTCACTTCTCTGTAATTTTATTTCACCACCTTGTTATTCTCACCACCCTATTCTCAGAAAAATTTAGATCTCCATGTTAATTTTATACAAATTATGTAACATGAAATTTCCTGTGAATTCTTTAGCTTCCTTCACTCAGCACAATTATTTGATAATGTCCCCACGTTCTTATGTGAAGGAGGCATGCCTTGATTTCAGTGGTTCATTGTATTTCAGACATGAATATTTCTCAAATTGTTTAACAATGCACCAAGTAATGGGTATTTGATTTGTTGTCTTAGCTTCTGAATTTTGTTTAGAAAGCAGATACTAAGCATGGGAATGGAAAAAATGAGAAAACGATGATCTTATTCTGACCTCATTAACAAAAAACTTGAACGACTACAAAAAATAAACCCTTCAACATATCTGAGTTGATGTCACAGAGAAAAAATCCCCCTGAAATCTGAGAAAATATGGGCCTGCAGAGAGACCTTGAGTCCATCTATTACAGTACTTGGGTCAGGTGCCACTCATGGCCTGGTATTTAAGATGGAAAAATCTAACCTGGAAAAGTTTAATGAGTTGCTTGAGGACGTGCATGCTAATGGTGTGAGAATGTGAAACTCTGGGCACTTCAAGGCTTTTCCTACAGAATTAGGGAAATCCCCAGACAACTCACCTACCTGCTGTCCTGTGGTGTGGACTGGGGAGGAAGAACAGCAGCTCCGTTCAATGCTAAGTCCCCCTTCACTGTATGAAGGAGACATTTATTAAATCTTGTGTCCTGTGGGCACTGGTAGAATCAACTAGAACACAAGGAAACAGAGGACACC